TGTAGAAAAGTGTCCTTTCTTTTCCTTGGGAATCATGCCTCTTCCTTTGAGAAGAATGTACTTCTGAGAAATCTAAAGACACAAATATGCGTTGTCCTTTCTTTCTTGACCCTTGGCAATTTTGACGAATAAATTCCTCGCCTCTCGGAGAGAGAAGAGACTGCGGATTTTTATGCATTCGCGAGGAGGAGAAGGAGACGAAACTATCAAAAAATGAAAATAATAACATCAACGTGGAACTGAAACATAAATTGGCAATGAAAAATGAAATTAAACTGCATACAAAATATATGAAATATTCAGAAATGGGATGTTCACTACGATATATTTAGCAGAGAGAACGAGCTTCTGCGTATTTTAAGTTCCATTAACTCTTTGGTAACATTGCACGAAAAATCACTAGAACTGCCCTATTTCCCTGAAACAGCCCTTGATCCTCAGACTTCTAAGGTCTCGTCGATGGAACGTCGCGACAGGCACAGTTATCTATAACGAGGTCTCTCACTTTTCGGTCGTTTCTCGAACGATCGCAATCGGAAGAAGCGTGAAAACCTAACCCGGAGGATAAAACTAAACAGAGAGAGAGAGAAAGAGAGAGAAAGAGAGACAGAGAGACAGAGAGAAGGAGCGAGAGAGGCTGGTAGGCTCGCAATGTACGCAGAGAGGCGTATCGATCGTCGTCGCCTGCCATGGTTCTTGCCACGAGACAGACAAGGAGCATACGCTAACCCAACCCCCGCTGTCTGTACGACGTTTCATCCTCTGTTTGCACCCTTTTCCGTCCCACAGCCTCCATCACGACCGCATAATTCACCGCATCCTCCGTTTCTCCTTCGTCCAACCCTCCCGCCCCCTCGCCGAGCCTCAGGGAGTTTTTCGTCTTTTCCGTGTTTAGATAGGAAGCGAGTCCGAAAAACGGCCCAGCTATAGAAATACTTCCACGACGTCGGATCGATGGAGCAATGAGGAAGCTCGAGGAATTTTGAAGACGGTAGACAGAAGATTCATTTGTTCTTGGTCGACTCTTCGGGAATTGTATATTAAAGAATTTTTTTTTATTAATTATTACAATTATTATAATTGTTATAATTGTTATAATTATTATAATTTAAGCTTCAGACGAGGATGACCGATAAAAAAGAGGGATGCATTCAGATTTGTGTCAATTGAAATTTGATCTGGATAGTTTAAAAAGTGTAACAGAAAATGACACTAAAAAGACAATTATATATGAATTATATTATATAAATATTTATAGAGACAATATTGAAACTAGTAAATTCACGCGCGATGCAGAATTTTTATTTCATGTTGAATGCCCGAGAGCATCCAGTAACTGCTACAGAATAATCGAAAATTATCAGGCAACACGATTGAAAAGGATTGAATTGAAAAAAACGTCTCAACGATAAAAATTATGTAACGAATTTGTATCACGCAAATATGAGATAATATTGAAGCTAGTAAATTCATGTAGAATTTTTACTTAACATCAATAACTGTTTGAAACTATCTTGGAATAACGAAAAATCACCACGCAACACAGTTAAAGGAAACTCGATTGAAAAGCGTCTCTCTCAACGATAAAAGCTCCAAAAATTGCTTCGTCGTAGACGCGGCAGGTCGTCTCATCTTCCGAAAGAGAGGGTGGTTCTTCCCCTAGACACAAGATTTAGCGAACACGGCCACATTCATCAAACAAAGTAACCAGAAAAAAACCTGAAAGAGAAATCTGAAGCTAGTGGCGCGCAGATTCTCAAAGGGAAGATCCTCTCTCTCGCAACTTGGCCGCGACATTAACGACCCACCGGCCGAGCACGAGCGCGAGTATCTCTCACCGGAAGCAGCTGGCTGCTGCAGGAAGCACATTATTCGCGTCTAACGCGCTCGCGAGTAAATTGTCCCGCGTAATCCGCCGCGATTGTGCTTCGCGTTCTGCGTGCACAAATTCGTGGAAAACGGACATCGGTTTTCATACCTGATCGATAATAGCGTCAACTTTTAATCGGTGTTATCGAATATCAGGGAAACAACGGAACAATTAAAAATTAAAACTGTACAGTTTTGATGTCTCTAATTTAATTGAATTCAATTATTAACTCGTATCGTGGATAATATAGAGTTAATACAGACACTGGAATTTTAGTGCCAAAAGATAAATTATTATAATCGTCCACAAAACCTTGTTTCAAATTTCATGCTCGCATTGTTGCAGCGAGTGATCGAATATCTACGTATCGCTAATAATATTGGCCGCGCGAGGTTTCAGAAACATTAAAACGAATGGAGAATATTATTGTCAATAGTATTGATGGCGCGTAGGTCGCTTTTGTCGTTCAGACCTCGAAGTTAAACAATGTCTGAAAGCGATTCTCTAACATTGGAACTACTTCAAATATTTCACACGTATAATGATAAAGTATTTATTATTAAATAAATTAAATTATATTTAATTACATTTAATTATAATATATCAAATATTATTAAATAAATAATTAAACATCAACAAAATAAGTAAATAACGAAGTATTTTACAATTTGAAATATATTTTAATAATAAAACAGTATTGAAACAAATAAATCCTCCTCCCCCAGTTATAAAAAAAAATAAATTTTAAAATCGCCAATTTGGCGTTTTTTTTTTTCCATATTGAACGAGAAGGTCAAAACGATCGAGTGTTGTACCCGATGTACCGCGTCAAATAAATTCACCAATGGCAACAGGTTGGTTGCTAGCCGACAAAAGGACTCGCGAGACGTGCCGCGAAATCTCAAGAAATCTCGAAAAACGGGGTGAGTCGGGAAACAGCTGCTTTGGAATCGAATTGTCCGCGATGATATCTAGTTTCTATGATAAACGCGCGCTTTTACGGTTTCTCTCCTTAAACCGCGGCAGAAACACGATAGGGCTCTGTTTGACCGATGGTCAGGTACGGGACGCGGTGAGAAAGGGGTGAAAGATAAGGGATTGTTCCTCGAGCCTGGCGGATTTGTGAACTCGAGACGACGCTGAGGGATCGCGTGTCATTCGTGGAAAGATTTCGGCTGTCTCGTGGGGTGCGCAGCTCGATACGATTTTTCAGGGTTTTCTCTTGAATAATCGAGAAGGTGGAGGGTCTCCATGTTGTTGTAGAAAATCTACGTTGTTGGTGAATATTAAATTAAAGTTTTCAGACGATTAGCTAGACTTATCATGGATCAGAATTAATTTTTAATATTTCGTTTTCATGATCAATTGAATTTACTTTAATATTTACAACTGGAGTTGCATTATCAAATTCATCTATTGATATTATTTTACATGATACATATTATGTTGTAGCGGACTTTCAATTTTATGTACTATCAATTATTGCAAGAAATATAAATTTAATCAATTTAACTAACTAATCAACTTTAACTAAAAACTTTGGTCACCCTTCCAAATTCACCAATTCAAAATTAATGCATCATAGTGACCGAAGAATTGTTTGATTCGAATATTATCTCTGAATTTTTCTCCAAATTCATTCAGCCATCTGAAACTTTTCTCCAATGACGTACATACATACGTACATCCACTCACCACCCTGCAAAGCTACGAAGAATTCGTCACTGTAATAAGCCTGGATGCTTCCGAAGCATGAACACGTGCGACATCTGCTTTAATTAATTCAACAGGCATGATTAAACGTCGTCAAAGTTATTCGGATGGACGACGCGGCGATTCCACGAGATATTTAAGCGATCGTCATGCAACACGACATACCGCGATCATGCTTGCTAGCCCATTAATGCCGCCTCTAGCACGTGATTCCCGGTAATTAGGTCAACGCCTGTGCTCCGCGCCATTGTGCGTGCTCGCATTAATACCACGGGGACCAGGGCTATAATTTCCCTCGCCTCTTTCGCAACCACGTCTCTGCACGTCTAAGGCTAAGATATTGTAATTTCAAGATAAACGCCGACGCGACGACGATTTCCACGTTTCCAACGTGGGTATTTAACCTGTTACGCGGAGAAGACGAGTTAATTCGTTACTGCGATTGCTAATCTCTTCGTTCGAAGCCGTTTTGAAGCCTGTTTCTTACTGTGTTAATAGCACAAACGACGTAACTTGGTTCAATTATCGGACGAATTGCGAAGAACATTCAATGAATGAAATTGAATGTTGAAACTTTCAACGAACAATATATGTCTCTTTTATTTAAACTGCTCATCACCTGTTGAATCGAATCCAATTCGGCAGTGTCTCTCTAAATTATACACACCCCTTTAATCAACAATCTCCCCGTTCAATCCTCAAGCGACTCCTAACAACCCCTCCCAATATGTTCCACCGTGATCCCGGCACTCCCCAAATCCTGCAGCAACATTATCGACCCTAACCTATCTCGTAAAACCATCGTAAACTTCCCGCGGCGAATCAAACCTCTCGTCAAACCAAATATCAAACACCGCGATCGATCATAGCTGACCGAAAGACCTCTAAAACCTTCAGTTATCTGATTTTCCAATTATCGATGGACATTCTACTCTGGTGAAATAATATCTGAACAAGCTTCATTATTGATATAAATATGACATAAACGGGCGAAATAAATGAAACAAGAGTTTAAGTAAAATATCCCTGTGACACGAATTGATGATAATATATGACACTTCTGATAGTTTCACATTAACAAATTATAAATTTATATATTTACTATAATTATATATTTATATGACTATAATAGTATATAACTATAATAGTATATAATATATATTATTTTATTACTTTATATTCTATATTATTATATATTAATTATTTAAATAACATGTAAACAAATAAAACTTCTTTCTCTCAATTAATGGTTATTTTACAAGAAATATAATCGCCAACGGAGCGACATTCATCCCTCCGAAATATTAATATTAGAGTCTCAGACAAGAAAGATTCCATTCTACAAACTTCTATGAACGTAAATACACTCGCATATGAAAACTTATTCACGTCAATTCTTCCAAATCCCAATCCTCCCCACCCCCACCCCCCTTCAAAAAAGAAATGATCCACACACATACACATACACGAAATCTCTCGTACAAAAGAATTCGAGTATCTCACGTTCTTCGATGGAACAGACAGATATTTGCATCTTACCTTGCGTGCTGCCGTTCGGTTGGCCTGGCTGCGGAATCCCCGGATAAAGGGGCGAGGGATGCGGCGAGGGTTGATTGCTGGGCGGTCCTGTAGAATGCGAATTGGCAGTCGTAGATGTCGGCGTGGCCGACGCTAGTTGCTGGGATTGTTGGGATTGCTGAACGTTACCGGCCGACGTGGGTGTTACTACAGGGGTGCTGGCACCGGTGCCGATACTACCAACAGCCGGTTGCTGTTGCTGCGGCTGCTGTTGCTGCTGTTGCTGGGGCGTCTGTTGCGGCGTCGGAGGCTTCTGACCGTCCGGCGAGTCCCCAGCCGTCTCTGGAAACCAGCAACGAGAGCAGAGTTTAGCCGGCGAATATTAATGAAAACGGGCATTCAGGGGATGTTTGCAACGTTTGTAGGCGGAGTAGGTGCGTTCGTCGGGTCTGCACGAGGATGGTTCTCTGGACGATGATTAGAGCAAGCAGGGAGAATAGGTTTCCACCTAGGGTTCTGCTAGGCGTCGATGGAGTAAGCGTTTTGGAAACGTAGGTTACTGCACTTTGGAATACACGATGCAGCAGTGTTTCAAGATTCTGTGAATAAGATTTTCTGAACGATTCGATTAATCGACGATAGGGTGAATTCTCTCTGGATTGCAAAGTCTGTTTTAATTCTTTACGAGAATTAGATCGGAGAATCTCTGAGGGAATGAAGATTATTACAGTATGCATTTACTGGCTGTCTACGTTTTCTATTTTCCATGAAAACATCGTCATCGTCACGACAGTTACTTGTTATCTCTACCAACACTGTAACATTCCAGGGAAAACTCTGACAGCGTAGACATCTCTCAATGCTAACAGTCAGATAGGAAAATAAAAATTTCACATCGAATCACTTTAAATTAAATTAAATTAAATTAAATCACTTAAAATTTCGATCGGACGAAACTCCGGTACAGACAGTGCCGTGTTTGAACCTTTAAAATCATCGTCTGATTCAATGACTCAAGAGACTAGGATACTTTTCCAAAATGGTCCACGAAAAGCGAGTAAAACGAAATTAATTGCACCGCGTGCCCGACGGTGGCGGAAATTAAACCCACGTCTGCGTGATAACAAGCGCGAAATCTAATTACGTTCTTCAGTATTGCATCTTGTCATTCGCGTCTCGTTCCCACCCGCAGACCATGGGCCCTTATTTCCTGATCAGCCGGGGGCTGGACAATTTCCAAGGGACCAGACAGTCCTCCGTTTCGGGAAATTCGCGAATTTGTTCCGCACGTGATGGCTGGAAATTGAAAACTTTCGCGACGTCGCGCCTGGTTGCTCCCAGTTTGATGACGTTCGTCCACGCGGATGCTGGTTTCAGGGTTCCACAAGGTTGTTTTAGGTAGTTTCGCGACGATTCGAGTTTAATGTAGATAAGGGAAACAGGGGGTCGAAGAGAAACTTAAGATAAGTGGACGTGGACGAGGGTGAGTGGAACCGTACATACATTATTTGGAGAGCTTGGCACATTTGTACGCTTGTGAACGACGATTAAAGTTAGGTTGAAAATGAAATTTAGGATAACAGGAGATAGTCGGAATATGTTATTTTAAACCCTCAATGTGTAGATAATGACTAGACTGCGAATTGTTGTGCGTATTTATTGGATATCTAAGGCTGCAAAAATCCAAAGAATCTAATACGTATCCAATATAAATTAGTAAATTAGTAAAAAAATTTTCTATCCCTAATTATCATTTCTCATTCATTCAATTGTATTTATAAAGATATAAAGTTACAGAAATATTCGCAGTTTAATAATTACTACATGATAACATGATACTAATTATATTCCTCGTTATTTTGTTAATTATCAGAAAACAGGCAAATTCCTCTGTAAAAGAATACTCGTACGTGTACATTTCATTTCCATATCTTTAAAATACAATTTCAACTGGAAAAACGTACACGTAGATCATTTAATCCAGACATTTCTAATTTATACACAAACGAATACAATATTACTTTCAAATAGCATCGTCCTCTTTAAATATCTTCAAATGAATAAAACCTTCCAATGAATAAAGATTAAAGAATGTTTCGTTTTATAAGAAGAATAAACTACAATAAATTTCAGTGAAACTCGCAAAACAGAATTTTGCTCGTAAAAAGGAATTGGCGACTCGAATTTAAATATCCTTAATGATTAAGGAGAACAACCGTATGGAATGAAACGTCGAACGATTCGAATTTTCCTCTCGAGCATTGATGTTTCAGGATTTTCTGGTGGAAAAGCGTATGGTAAAATCGCTCACCATTTTCCGGAAACGACGTGGACCTTATGACGGGCAGCAGGATTCCTTTCTGTACCAACTCGTCTCTGCTAGCTCGTACAGAGATCTTCCTCTCGAGCGCTGCAATCGCGAGAGACAACCCTTTGTTAACATCCTAACTTTGTCGATAAATCTTCGCTCTGCTTAAGAATATTCTTACTCTGTTTTCTCAATTATTTATTTTTTGCCTTTTCTATTACTCTAGAATAGTTGAGAGAATATTCTTAAATCACATTTAATTGTAATTTATATAATTCATTATATATATTATTATGATATATTATACATATACATCATTCTGTTAACATCCTAACTTTGTCGATAAATCTTCGCTCTGTTTAAGAATATTCTTACTCTGTTTTCTCAATTATTTACTTTTTGTCTTTTCTACTGCTCTAGAATACTTGAGAGAATATTTATAAATCACATTTATATTGTGATTTATATGATTCATTATATATTATTATAATATATTATACATATACATCATTCTGTTAACATCCTAACTTTGCCGATAAATCTTCACTCTGTTTAAGAATATTCTTACTCTGTTTTCTCAATTATTTACTTTTTGTCTTTTCTACTACTCTAGTATACTTGAGAGAATATTTATAAATCACATTTATATTGTGATTTATATGATTCATTATATATATTATATAAAATTTAATTATATAATTTTCATTTAATTATTATAATATTTATATAATATATATTATATAAATTTATACAACTATATTTGTATTATTCAGTATATTGTCATACATTGCAAAGAGTATATTTGTCACTTACACAATGAGGCAGCTTCGAATTTATCCGATTTCTTTTTCCGTTTCCATTTCCACGGTTTAAAGAGTCTACCGAGGGCCGAAAATTTGCTTTTCCTTTCGAGAGGTGGTGTCCTCGCCCCCGAGCCCAGACTGTTCGTCCGCAATGCCGCCCCATTTTGCTTTTTCGCTGCAAACAAACAGACCAAGCAACGAATTAAATATTTTTCAAATTTAGAAAATTAAATGTTTTCTTAAATACATGTTATTAACTTTTAACTGGATCATTGGCGACCGTAAGAACTTTACCGTGAAAAGGTCAAGTCTGACTCTGCGAGTTGCTACGCGCGGCGTAATTGAAATGAAAACGATCGCTGGTAAAACAAAGAGGGATGCAACTTCATCAACCGTTGCACCCTGCTCGCGTTATCGACTTTGGATACGACGCGACGACGCTCGTGTTTCCCCAGTTTTCCAGGAAAATGCGAAACAGAAATTTCTACGTTACCGACCAGGGGTGATTTCATCCCTTAGAAAGCATCCCCTCGTACCGGCGAATCGATCGTTTCAACGAAACAATTGCCGCGTAGATAACGTTATCGTTCGTCGGAATACCCAGTTTCTCTCTAAATGGCTGATCATTTTTATAAATAAACGTTTAAGAAGTTGCTATTAAACAATTCAAGAAATAAACGAATGTAAAATGTTTTAGACCTTGAGAAAGGTGTCAAAAAGTAGACAGGTGCGATATATATATATAAAAAAAAAAAAAACGCACACAATTAAAAGAATAAGTTACGCACAACCGAAAAAGACAAATAGTATTGATTTGTATATATTGAACGTGCGAAATTTTCTGAAATGTAAAAGAAGTTACCAAAAAATTGATGCAACAAAAGTTGATGTAATATATCACAGAATCGGCTGTTTGAGATTCAAAAATGCATCTTTCACTCGTTCATGTTTTGAAAATCATACTTATGAAAACATGAGCTTAGAAGTTCATCTGAAATATTGTTCGTGGAACAATAACCTCCTCAATAAAGTGTCTCGAATCTACGATAAATCCCGATCTCTAACAAACACGACTGAAAAATTTATTTGATCGTGTTTTCCACTTCAGAGCGACGTCCGCCTCTTTTGTGAAAAACCACAGGCCATTAAATATCTATGGGGCCACGATGTCGGGTATTGATTTTATGGTGACATCGACATGGCCGTCTAACAATGAGTTAAGAGGAACAGAACCATGAGAGAAGGAGAGAGAGAGAAAGAGAGCTGGCCACGCTCAATACGATTCTCCGCGAATATTCGTCCAACAGCTGTAAACAGCTCGAGAGGTACAATAACCCCGGAAAATAAGTTTCACTTCCGCAGGAGATGGAAGACGTCTTTCATCGCATTATCACTGCGATGTTACGTGCTTTGCCTCCTCTTGCATATCGGCCGGAGTGACTTTTCTTCTTGGAAACTACGGGAAAAGAGCAGGGGACAATGGAACTTGCAGGAGCAATTTTTTTAAAGAAGTTTTAACATCTACTTCCTTAGTTTCTTTCTCGTTTAAGACGGGGGACGAATGACGGTACATAATTGCAAAAAAATATTCTGCACAACTTTTGCATAACAATATATTTCGATTGATTTCGAATTTTGTTGTCTCAACAGAAGAAATTTAAGTGTTTCATATGTTCGTACGTAAAAGTTTGTCTATGGCAAATGGCCCGAATACTTATCGTATATTGCGCTCGAGATCTGGCAACCACTCTGTATACTTAGAATTCCAAAACTTTGGCAGCATTCCGCTCCAGTAACCGCTAATCAATTCGTGTAACAACAACCTGCGATAACAACTAATTAATTTGCATGGCAACTAATACGTCGAAATTGCGGCCACTGTCAAAGGATTTTCGAGTTTCTCAATATTCTGGACCTCTGAACTACCTTTCTACTTGAATTCCTAATATAGATTCCGAGCTTCGAAATTTCCATCAACCTCGACGATTTTATTTCAATTTAGCCCAGCTAAAGATTTTGTTTCCATTTCGCTTTAATTGAAAAAAATTCACCTTTCATTTTCTAGCTTACTTGCGCCACGCCAAAGTATTACTCCGATACGTGAGTATTGATATTTAAATTCTTATATTAAAGTATCAAATAATTTTATATACTTTAAAGTACTAAAAATTTAAAGTCTTATTAAAATATTCTTAACATTTAAATCCTATGTTAAATTTCGGAACAATTTTACTTTGATTTCATCAATCTCCATTAGCACTTTGATCAGCTGCATAGAGATCTAGAGTCTAATATTATTACACAATGCAACGATATTCCAAGACGCTCGCTCATTCAAGGGAATTTAAATACCACGTTTCATCCGAGCGTTTCATCCGAGGCACACGCGAACCGATCTCAGAGAACTTTGACCACGATACAATGGAGTCTGCACTCTCAAAGGAATATCTCCTCCGATATCCTGTTTGCGGCGCATAAATAGAATTCGTGAATGTCCATTAATATCCCGAGTAGCAACTATAAGCCAGAGCACGATACTATAAATTAGTATAAATTGCGAGATAAATCTTTCGACGTGAGGAGAAAAGGAATTGGTTGTCGAACGGACAGACTATCGGCGGAGTCTCTATAGGGGAATAAGAAAGGATAACTTGCGATAGGACAGTTTCGTTCGAGATCGACGATTATCAATCTTGACCATCCCTCGGGGACACTTCTGGACTTCTATGATGAATTCTTAGCGCACTGGGGGCTGAATTTGGTCTGCTTGCTGGTCCGGTCCCTGAACGTCTAATCTGGGGCCAATTAAACGGAGTGACGAAGGTCGATCGGTTAGGATGTTGGTGATGTCGGTCTGTTGGAACGAAATTTTGGGGTAATTTGGCGTCCCAAAGGGGTTGGAAGAAGGACTTGGTCGAATATAACGTGTCAGGAATTGTGTAAAATTCAATACTGTTAAACAGCTAATAAATGAATTAAAACGAATTTGTTCATTAAAGTAATTATAAATATTTCGTATAGCATACATAAAGGATGTTTGAACACTTTAAAAATTGTAATAAATACTAGGACCTTATCTGCATATAAATAAATTGTTATGACACGTATAAAATTGATCATAAATATCTGCACGATTTCAATAAAGTGATCAATAAAAAAGAAGCTGCAGCCGATCGTTCTCGACGAGAGTTGAGAAAGCGCGAACGTTGGAGGAATTTTTAGCATCAGGATAATAATAACACTTGGACGATACGTTATAACCGTTGAAAGTGTTGCGAAGAGCGCCGATGCTATCGATAAAATAAAACGCCGACAAAGTTTTCGATTATGAAGACGTATCACGTGTGAATAATGCCAACGTTGTAAAATACACGAGGGAAACGAGCAAGGCCAATTCTATGGCTTCTCACCCTGCCACAGATGCAGTAAAAATACCCATAATAAAAATACGGCGACGTAACAAAAATAACATTTAAAAAAAAATTTTTTCACGTGGGTGAAATCTTATTTATTTGTCATTTATTCGTTTTTTATTTTATCGGAAGCTTCGTTGTACACACACGGTAACAAAGCTAGAAAATTTAGAAAATTTTTTCACTCGCCCAGACAAAATCTAACATTATTCATTTCATTGGAATTCCTATTTCTCTGACGTCAGCTGGTAAAACGCTACAACAAAACTAAGACGTTCCGAAAGTTTTTCCAGTCACGTAGGCAAAATCTTAACTTGAAATTCTTCACTGCGCGCTTTATGCGTCTGACGTCAGTTTGTGGGCGCAATTTGTGGTATTTAAATATATAACAAACTCTCTCTGGTCGCCCGCCTCGTTTAAAACGTAAAAGATCCTTATGCGTTATTCATACGGGACAAAATTTGATATCGATATTCCGAGAGACGCTACAAACTTTGACGTCAATTAACGTCTTCATTGTACCTTTCTATCGTTTACCAAACTGAGGATACGTGAAATCGACTATGGTTTGCTATCGAAACGCTCGATTACAACGTTTTAAAGCTTATCAACGATTTCATCAATTTCATCTTAATTAAAATGCAATTACATCCGACTTTTTCGATAACAATCTCCTTGCTGGATTTTAGATATTCGAGACCTGTATTTTTTTTTATCAGAATACTACTTTATTTGAGATAGACGAATATTTCGAAATTTCACTTCCAAACATAAATTCTTTCTATTCAGACTTCAAACACTGTTCTATTTTTTGACTTTTTACTGTTTCGTTGGAAGATAATGATGACTAAATATTTTTAATCAGACAAAGACGAAAAAATATAAATGAAACTCCCATCTTCAAAATGGAACGTTACAGTACCCACGATCGGTCTCGCAAAATTCTCAGTTCAATCAGAAATCAGTACGTCTTACAAACAAACAAACTTTTTAACATTGGTGTCGTAATCGCGAAGAAAAATGTTCTTCTGAATAAAAAAAAAAAGACAACTAACAAAATTCTTCTGTTCTTATCGAAAGCGAGCTTCAATTTTTTTTTCAGAAGCGCGAGTTTCTACAAAACAGGACGACAGGCACACGTGATTTCGTTTCTTCTTGCTCGACACGACTTGCGCCAGGAATTGCTCCACGGAAAAAAGGAAAAAGAAAAATCTCTGTCGGATCTGCCGGCGTTTCAATAAGAAGAAGCGACACGCTCTTCGGGAAATAGCGAGTTCGATTTCTGCGGGGGTCGACACTTTTCTCTCCCGAGGGGCCACGAGTGAGACTCAATGCCGTCAGAAATGACCGCTGCCACTCGGACTCGAGAGAAAGAAGATTCCTTGGGGCAAACGTTGCGCGACCGATCGTCGAAAGAACTGAAAATTGCTCGAGGAACGTCCGATCGACACGATATACATTTTGAACAGCTCGCAGAGAGAAGATCGATTGAATCTCTCGCGTCAGGCGAGAAGGCTCGACTTCGAATGGAATTGCAGGGATTGATTCAACTAACTTGAAGGAGACACTCGAATTTTTCTTGCGAAAGTGTTTTTATGCAGAGAATATTTTATACTGATAAGGCTTGAAAACAAATATATGTGAAAATATATGTAGAAGATAGAAAATATTTACTACAGGCATATAGGTATTTAAACTTGACGTGCGTGGCACGTCAATCCAACGCAAGAAGTCAATATTCACTTGGTGTAAAGTCTGTAGA